GGGGTCTTGGAATATATTTCTGAGGATAAGGAGGGATCACTACTTGTTTCCAATCATTTTTCTTTTACTGGTCTTGAGATCTTCTTCCTTTGGACTCATTTCATGATTTTTTAATAGACATTCATGAGGAATCTTTAAGAGAAGTTAAATGAGACATGTGTTTTGTTAGTTCTTGCATTTTTAAGCGTATCCATCCATCGTCATGCCATAAAAATCATCAGTTTTTCTGAATTTATAGATAATGCCCTCACTCCACAGATCAGTTTAGACATTTATATTTTATTATTCACTTATTTATTTTTGTATTTAGGACCGGGGGTTCAGGGTCTCACTGCACAGATCGGACTCGTAGCGATCCTCCTGTTCACAGGCTTCCAAGCGCTGGGATTACAGGCGTGCGCCACCACACCCAGTCTCAATCACTGTCTCAGTGCACCCCAGGGGTTGGGGCCGGTGTGGCAGAGACATTTATTTTGAATTTTAATTTTTATTAGCACATGCTCGCAGTCCCTCGTGGTGATACTCATCATGCAGAGTGGGTAAGTGTCCATGGACTCCTTAGCATGCATTATTGTGCAAGGTCAGTGTAAGGTTAAACTTCCATTTTTGCTATCAATTGCTTCTTTTTTAGATTGGATATTTCTTTTTCTTTTCTTCTTCTTCTTTTTTTTTTTTTTTTTTTTTTTTTTTTTTTTTGCGGAACCAGGAATTGAACTCAGGCTCTTGCGCTTGCCAGGCAAGCACTTATTCTATTGAGCCATCTCCCCGACCCCCTAATAAAAAGTCTTTGAATACCCACTCTGCTTGATTTCATTTGTAAAGTCAGAATGCTTTCATTTATTATTGTGTAGCTTTTATTCCTCAGTAGTAGTAATAAGATAAATGCTGGTCTCTCTTTTCCGTATTATTTTTAATTCTTCATTTATGAATCTATATTGTTTTCTAGTATAGTTTTGTATTTTGTTCTCTCATTAATATCCTATTTTTTTTTCCTTTTTGAGAAGAAGTCTCACTCTCCAGTTCAAGCCCTTGCTTGCGGGCAAGCGCTTATTCTTTTTTTTTTTTTTCCCCCAGAACTGGGGATTGAACTCAGGCCCTTGCGCTTGCGAGGGAGGCACTTATTCCACTGAGTCATCTCCCCTGCCCCAATATACTATTTTTTATAGTGCTACATTTATTCTTTTTCTGTATCCCAAGTGGATATCATATGCTGCATTTTATTTATTTTTATTTATTTGTTTTTCTGTATTTCAGGGCAAGGTGTACAGGGTGTTCAGGGTCTCACTACTAGATTGGACTCATAGTGATCCACCTGTTTACAGCCTTCCAAGAGCTGGGATTACAGACATACGCCACCACCCCCAGTCTCAATTGCCATCTCGGCGTTCCCTAGAGGCAGGACCGGCACCATAGGCCTGGGGACTAAACACCCGCCCCTGTGCCTGCTTGCAAGCACTTTAATCCGCTGAGCTATTTGGCCAGCCCTATGCGCTGCATTTTAAATTCCACGAAGTCACTAACTTAGCTGCCTGAATTTCAAGATGCCTTGTTGTTCTTTAGACTTGATCTTAGCCAAAAGGTCAAGAAGCAAAACTTTGTTCTTATTTTAATCCAGAACAATTGGCCCATTTCTCTCCTCTAAATTTTCTGCCAGAGGCCTGTGTTAATTCTTCTCTCTTTAGTCATCCTCTTAGAGCGTAGCATATTCAATCTGCGGCTGGAGGCATAAATGTAATCCACTTGGTTTCAGGCTGGAAGGAGAGAGGACAGTAAGCTTAAGTACTCTGCTGGCATGTCTGACCTGCTCTGAAGCCTCCTGGTTACAGTCAAAGACAGAGGCCTAGGGGAAAGACTCTTTATGAAGCACACAATTCATTAAAGGCCCACACACCAGCTGGTGGGTTCTTTCCTAGAGCAGAAATTAAAATATCTTGAAAGACTAAAGCTGGATCCGTGATACACTCCAGTGGGCATTGAGAAAGAGCTCTCTGCCTGCCCGCCCTCAAGGGGTCAGCTGTCAATTCTGACGCATCCTTCAGGAGATTACTTCATTATCTACAGAATCCAGAGAATGTACATCTCTTGCTCCTACACAGCAAGGACAGGCTTGGGTAGCACAATGTCTAAATTCTTGGATCAAAT